ATATCACTCCCTTAATCCTGAATAAACGTCTAGATGCTAATTCCAACAATTTAATATAGCAACCACTGAAAGGCCGTGCCATATCCTTCTATTTAGTCTTCTAAAACATCTAGGTACACTGAATAAATAACCGTCTTTGTGAAGTAACCGTTGTATTGAATTAACTGTTGATCACTCTATTAACCTTCTAGGGAATCGACTAAGATTTTCCAGTATTAAGTAGATTACGGATTACGTAGAACAGAGCATTATTTTTTTTACTGGCCTATGTGAGGTTTCTATTATAATAAAAAAGAGTTGACAATTGTTATGACTTTACATTTCTGCATCAGAAACAGAGATTGGGCAGCGGAATGATTATCCATTTGTAAAACTAAGTCCCCTCTAAAAACCGAATACAGGAATTTTTACTAAAAAAAAAAATCAAAGGAACGTCATCCTTTGATTGATCGAAATAAAATATTTAAATATTTACATATACGCATGTAAGTGCACAAAGAAATCGAACCATATTGGTAATCTAACTATAAGCCCTAGAGTTTTTGACTATTTAATTAATCCAACATTGACTCAATCTTGCCAAATATAAAGGTTGAGCTACATCGTTACAACGGCGTCACTCACTATTTCCCGATTCCTCTGTTCTTGCAAATTTTTGTTGTTAGATGGAGTGACCCACGTATTATCACGAATTCATTTTGATGCTACATTCCTAAAGGGGTTTCCTGTAAAATAGGCACATGTCACATTTTATGGGGTACCGTACAATTTCTCTACCACGCTAATGGTTCGCACACTCGCTCTCGGAAGTCGGTATTCTTCTTATGTAATAAATTAGAAAATTAGGCGTAAAGTGCGTTTGATCGGTACACTTCTTATTCATAGCTATTGAAATACTCGAAAATGACGTCTACAGTGCCATCGGCAAAGAATTTTTACCAGGCATATAGAAGTTTCAGTACTGGGTTACTATCAGTTTTGAATGATAAAAAAGTTTATAGGTTTTGATTACATTTGTACTTAATTTGTTAGTATAATAAACAAAACGTAAAAAAAAATTAACTTCAGCAGTCAAGAAATTAGACACCTAAGATAATTTTTTCTTCATCATCATCAAGTTCTTGTATCAATCAAATATAGCACTTTTTGATTCCGGAGCTAACTCCTCGGCAACTATTTCGTCGAAGACTTCTGATTTAGTTTCCTGAAATGAATGTTAATGAGTAAATATTAAGAAAGAAACAAGGGCTCAAGTTTGTATACGTTTTACTAGATGAATTATGGTACATCAAACTTGGCACCCTAGCAGCAAATATTAACAATGCATGAATAGCACTTGGATTGACGAAGTCATTTAGTATGTCGGGGTAAACATAATAGGGTCTCCAGTTTGCAGTTGTTACAAAATTCGCGTACATTAAAGGTACTCATGCCAATCGAGAAATCTAAAGCAACATTTAAGATATTTTGAATCCAAATAATAACGTCATAATTCGTTTTAAGCATAGTCTGCTCCATGGGAAGAATTGTGAAAAACTAACTTCGACCATAAGGTAACGGCATTACAATGAACGGTTGTGTTCTTTCTCTTCAAGTGAAGTGTGGCCTTGTTATTGTCAAGCAAATAGCCTAAAAATAAACAAAAAAAAAAAAAATAGCTGTTTGTAACGGCAGGCCCCATATGATCATGTAGCGTTACCTTAACGTTAGCGTTCCACCTGATTTATCTTGAACATGACACATTGTAACAAGGAAAGTTTAAACCTAGTAACTAAACGTTGAAGGAGAATTCCTCTTGCGCATGTCAACCTAATGTCGCCATTGTTTCATTAGCCTAATCCTCAAGTTATTAGAGCGCCCATCTGTTGTCCATGTACCGCGGCTATAAATTGCTGATCCTGTTTGTCCGTTCATCAATATTCTTCTCGAGTTTTTATACGCGATTCAAATTCACTATCTTCAGGTTTCATGAATTCAAAGTGACTAATAACTGCCGACTCTAGCGTGTGTTCCACAACTACCGACGATTGCCGCTGTTGCTTTTGATGTTTTCTGAAAATGCTGATTCGACTGAGAATTACATGAGGCTGATCACGTACCTCTGGATCTGCCAACTGTCTTTGTCGGTAGGACACGGAACAATTGATTTTGTACTATTTCATTGTTCAACACAGTGTCCCTTTACGCTTCGTACGTTTTCTGATATCAGTTCTGATTTTATCCTGCCAAAGGACCTACTCCTTCGATTGGCCGGTTGCCCATACCGGTCGGATTCTTGTTGCAAAAGTTCATCTACTTCACCTGAGCCTGAATCTTCGCTCAAAGGCGGCACAAGCACCTGCTCTTTCTTTGGCTAATGGGATAATCTATTGATTACGCATAATGTACACACCGTTAATAAAACATAGTTAATGATTTATCTCTTGATAAAAGTGGCATATTCAGCAAAATAAGTAAAACAAGCATACGTGACAGACAATTTTTGGCAGTTACGTATTGATATTTCGTTCTTCGGGACAGTCAGGAAAATGAAGTAGATATGATATGGTGTCGTGAAGCCTGAAATGCGCACTCCCTTGTTTCTGGTACCACAATTTGATTACCTCCATTTGACTAACACGGTTACTAATTGTTTGTAAATTTCAGTATCTAACTGGCCCTTAAGATTTAAGAACTTAACGATCGTCCACTGATTATGCTCACTGAATGAGTTATTTTGCTGCCAGATTCATGTTCTTGCAATCGGGTTGTGTCAGAGTAATAGCTAAATGTTTATAGGACCTACCGTTGGCATATGGTCTGCTGGTGGCGCGTACTTTAAATTTTAAGCAGACGAATGAGTACACTTATTTTTGAGACAACTTGTTATCTTGTCGATAAAAACCGGCATTTCAAAAATAAAACGAATAAGTGCCTTTAAGACAACGCAATATCTGGAAGCCGCCTTAATAAATGCCATTACCGGGAAAGATTTCAAAGCCGCCTCATACGTTTGCAACATGCGTACCACTCATGCTTCGCATGTAAAAAACCTTTCATACGAAACAGAATATTAGTATTGGGTTTGTGTATTCTTTTCATACACCTCAGAAAAAACGTCCTCGAGATAAGTTAGTGGGTAGCGTGTTGGCATACCAATGTTATCAACACGTAGTGGTCTAGGTTTATATTCATACGTAGATTTCGTTGCATGCCGGGAGGTACCCGTATTATAAAATCGTTAACAGCGCTGATGTACATAAAACTCGAAACAGTTGATTTTTTAATTGAAAATGCTTGAAAATACTTAACTGGTCATAGTTTACTTTCCTGGCCACTTCAACAACTGCTTTATATATTGTCTTCTCTTAAAGATGCATTAGGGCCATCTCTCACTGAGTCGAAAATGTTCTCTGTGAAGTAATCAACCAGTCACTTTAAGTATAAAGTTTACACGGTATACAGCGCAAATATAATCGTTCACCTGTTTCGGCAGTTTTTTGATCTTGCCAGAAGGCGTAACAATATAGGTATTAAAAACGTATTTTGCGACTAAAGTGAACGCATCATAAAACGAAATTAGCGTAGGGAGCGTGCTTTCGAATGGCGCACGGGAACAAAAGAAACAATAGATGGTTAAAAGGAAAGGAAACATTTAGAAATTCGTTTTTGCCGAAAGGTCTTATAATAACGTCAAAAATCCCCAGTCACGTGTTCTTATTATATCATTTGCTAAACTAATTTAAATGTTATTATAGCCTAAAATTATAAAAATAAAAAAATAATAAAGAATATAGCCTAATAAAAAAAAAAACATTTTAAAAGCTTGCCGTTAGTTTAAAGTCGTTTTTTTCTGCTCGTTTTTCTGGTCCAATCGCGCCCCGCATCCTCATCGTGATGTCAATTTTCAAAAACCTTAGCGTCGGACATTCTCGCAAATTCGTATGCCAATAAGTGTTCTTGTACGCGTTCGACAAATTGCCTTAGGCACTTTGCCAGCCCCGCTTCTCGGAATCAGTGAGCAATTTGCGCAAGTACTATAATATTGAAGCTACTTCAATGGGCATGCTCGGGTGCATAGCTTGTGTTACGTTCCTAGTGGCTCGGGAGAGTTTTAACTTGGTTATACCAAATTCAATTGGCGCCGCCCTCCTAATTTATAAACCTTTTTCGAGGATGGCTACAATTGGCCTCTGAAAAGTTTTTGGCTGCACTCGAACTTGATCGCTCCTCCTTTGGTACTTCCACACTATTGCGAGCTCTAGTTAAATAATCACCACACTGCTTTGTGTGAATCAAGCTGTTATTTTTTTTTTGCTTTACTCAGATGATGACAAACAAATAGAGACCATAAAAGGGCTGAACCATCTGATCAGAGTTTTTCACTACGTTACCTGCCTTTTAAAGCCTCACCGCTTGCCTAATATGACTTTTTTTTTTATCTTTATACAATTGATGTGTAATACAAGAAAGAGTTATTTAATAACTCCTTCTGATTATGATTGGTAATGTTCCTTAAAAACAAACAGGCTTTCAGATCAACACCTAACATTAAGAAATGTGGTATCATTTGTTCTCAGGAAAACGTATTAGTTTTGCTTGACATGGTAAATATGCTGAAATAAGCCTCTTATCACGGTGCAGCATGACACCTATCTCATTGCTGAATTAATAAGCAATAAAAAACAACCTGTCCCGTAAAGCTTTTATGGCAGTCTGCTAGTTCATCTAATCATTTTTGTTTTCATAAGCGCTCACTCAATTCGGCTTGCTTTTTGACATGGTTGTCCCTCGTACATGCAACTTTATAGCAGATTGTGAAATCAGCTGTTCTGAGATTTAATAAGATCTAATATACTTACCTCAGTGTAGAGTAAACTGAAATCACAAGTATTTCACCGTCCTGGATGTACCCTTGGTTTGGGAATTTCAAAAGAGAAGAGCGTGTTTTCTAATTGGAGCAACAAGACACTCGTAAACTGTCTTTCACAGTAACCGGATGAGCAGGTGGGCAGACATATTCGGATAGTAGTAAAATTCAAATTCCGTTCAAACCTGTGACGTGACTTGTTACGCTAAGTAACATCTTTAGCGAACCGTATTCTATAACTAAACAACAATATCAGTGTACTGCCTATCAAGTAATGTTATATATCTTACAGGAAGAACACACTGTTTCTGCTTTTGTCCTTTTCTCTGCATACTTCAGTACGAATACTCGTCCTTCAGTGTCGTCTTCTATGATAAAATTCCCGTTGTACTGCTACTGATAAAACCTCCATCCATCTGTGATGAAATGGTCCCCGGCTACGTAGCAAGGATCTCCACTTTTTTTCAGCACTCAACGCTTTTTTTACAGCGCCACCATTTGAATCAGTTCTTAGCTTCAGCTGTCATGTGGAATGCCAAGAGCTAGTTTAATAAAACTGTGTTTGACGTCATCGTTATTTCCGGCTTTCTGAGTGCGGCAATTCTATAATGGCTATTAAACTTCCTTTGTATTGTATCGCATTCTGTTATGTCTAGTATTTTGAGCCTTGGTACGCTGTCGGAGAGTAAAAGCTTTCTATGGACCGAAGTTTCATTAAATATAGTCTTTGGTGATTAGCGCAGGCGATTCGAAAGGTCGCTGTGGCATGCTGTTACAGTTAATCATTTAACTTCTGGGACGTTCACGCGTAGTTGTAATGCTACCTAAAACAAACGTAGCATCCTTCCTTTTGAGAACGCTTACAGTTACTACGTAGGTCTTTCCTCTAGGCTCTTGCTTTTTGATCCCGTTTTCAACAGATCTGTAAAATACACGGTCTAAGCCACCTATTAACGTCACCAGTTACATTACTTAAAGGGGCCGCTCTGCTGCTAGTAATTTAAAACAACAACGCTTGCTCTTCCATTTTATCGTTTCACATTTCCTCTTTTTTCACAGATTATATTTTTTGACTAAGTAGCATTTTAAGGATATAAATTAACTAAAACCAAAAACGATCATCTAAATCATGCAAAAAAATGTTACTCTGAAATAATACGGGAGTATTATCCATCATTTTGTTTAATCATAGATATCCTTAATCCTCTCAACATACAAATAGTTGACTTGAGCATATGGCCAAGATAATGTAGTCGCGTGGAACGATTCAATACGCTCTCTATAAGGAACGACCGCGCGAAATTAGAATTTCTTGTTTCGTGAGAATCACATTATCACCCTTCTGGAAGCAAATCGATAACAATAAACAACAATTTGTCATCTAGTTGGGCAGAAGAAAATGGCTACCGATCACGTTTAATTATAATTATCGAGCTTT